TTATTTCGCTGTAGCATTGCAGAGGCATGTCCTTCCAATTCGAAATTCTGTCAAGTTTTCCCCAAAATGCACTACTAGGATCATATTTCAATCCGTTTTGAAGAACTGGGTGTAGTCAGATTTAATGTCATTCAATAACTAAAGCATAAACATAAAAGAGATGTTACTCTATTTGTCTTACTTAAACTATGGCTTTAAAAATGCCTACTTTAACGTGTTATTTGATATTTTAAGGTCGATTCAATGGATTCTGCCCAGTATTTATGTTCCGTTAGTTGGTTTATTTTACCAGAGCACACTTTATAACTGGTGTGCGGTTGGTTGAATGTCTGCCAGGTGCATAACGTATTTAATAAGGCGAGGGTTTGCCGAGAGGAAAGGTATATTTGACATTATCAGTTTACCAGCTAGCTGTGAAGGGTGTTGCTGCAGTGTCCAAAACACGTGAGATAGATGTAGAAACTGACGCTGAGAAACTTGTGAACTTTTGCTGCATTAACTATCGGATCAATGAGCAACCGATTCCCTTAAAGCCAGATAGGTACTCATGAATTTTTCTTTTATTTCCTAGTGAGTATCCTACATGGCTATGGTCGCTTAGAGTTTCCAGAAGGCCGCCTAGACTCGCTGACATCGATCCAGATTCTTACTACTATTGGCGCCGTATTCGGAGGCTTCACAATCGGCATTTGAATAATTTAGCTGCTGCTGATGGATGGCATCGCAGAGAGCATCGAGACCCGCGGTCTCACTCTGAAAGAGCCTATGGCGATCTGTCCCGCGCCCTAGGAAAGTGGTTACGGGAGCACGAGGGTCGATCGTGACGACCTGTTCTTACGCGGCAGCCCCGCCAACTCATATCTTATTTGTTTTTTTTTTCTAAATTCGGGGATCTAGAAAAGGTAGCCCAAAAATACTCCTACTTCTCTTGACTTACCTGACATGTATTTTGCGGCAAGCTCGAGGTGCGTTTTTGTACACTTTTATCAGGTTCATCAATTTATGATATTTATTTCGCAAGCAACAATAGGGGCAAAGTACCATAGATACATATGTCAAGGCAACGAAGTAAGAAAGTGAGAAGTATGCGTTTGTGTTTGTGCTGAAGAAGTCATTCAAGAGACTGGTAAGAAAAACCTTTGTGTCCTCTGCGCCTCCATTGGTAGCCATTGCCGCGGCTAAAACAAAGTGTACACAAGATGGGAGTTTCTGCTAATGCAAGTGCCAGCCAATTTTGCAGGGTTTCTTGGGAAATATAGTTGATAGAAATCACCTCGATCACCATGCCTAGTGATGACAAGTGTGCAGATAATTGGAAGCGTTCGATCTCGTGAGTTGTGACAATAGGTGGCACAAGCGGTGTGTAGTTATGCTTTTCCTGTCGCAACCGCCAGCTGCTTTCGGGTCAACGTTTACTCAAGTGAATCTATTACCCTGCAAAGATGGCGTACGTAAATGCATTTACATAAACTGAGGTCAGACAAACTGACGGTTGACGAGCCTTAATGGATCGTTGGATTCTTTCGGCGTCTAACTGTTGTTCGTTTGGAGATGCAAGGGCCGGGACCCCGGGTGGAAGTAAAATACAAAGAGTAGCTAACCTCGTAAATACAGGTACCAAGGCAAGGCCTACGCTATCACCGAACACTTCCTTCCAGTTTTGAAGCCATCCAAGGTCGAACCCTCGTTTATCCACTCCTGATCCACGAAATGTTGGCGAACGAAAACCCTCTAACGGTTAAAAATAATAATAATAATAATAATAATAAAAGGGACAGGAGAGTTATTGCCAGTGAGCTATATATGCAAGGCAACCTGTGTGAGGGCAGTGAGGTCAGGTGAACATCACACTTGACCATTTTGTAACACAACTACCACTGATTTCACCCACATAGTAGCAATCGGAAAAAAGAAAACACATAGATTGCCCAGAGCAACATACAGTACAAATACAAGGGCTACGTTGGTTTCATTTACACAAATGTATTGTACTAAACGAGTCAAAGGGCACTTGAGGTGACCCAACACCACTTTTTTTACTAATATTCCAGAAGGCGAATCACATTATTCGTAGCTAAGGCCATTCTCTTTTGGCGGAGCAATGTACCTTATTTGGCTATGGTAGAGTAGTTATATCATCACTGTAAAAAGATGAAAAGACCAGTCGATCACTTCTCACTCCTCCCACTCGCTCCTCACACCAAAAACTTTTAGTAGTTTGTGAGACTCCACAGTAAAAGTACTTGACTCCAAAGGTTACAGTGACCAATTGACAGAGTTGAGAAGTAATGAGACATTGTCTTCTCGAAAACGAAAATGCTAAGTAGTGTGTTAAGCACTATTTTCTCTTGCTCTTCTTTTAGCCACTAAAGTTATAGCATTTCTGTGGTAGCTTTATTACCCATTTGTTTCAAAATAATGTGGCCTTCCGGAGGAAGGGAGGAGGGAAGGAGGATGGGCAGATGTGTAAAAACTTACCAAGCGTGGTTCGATTGCGTGAGAGAAGGTAGAAGTGGTAGAAGAGTAGGATAGCCTGAGCAAACCCAAACATAATGGCGATGAAGAAGAGGAAGAGGAAATTGTAGCGCGCTGGGGGCATGTCTTGAAGATTCTACCATAAAGTAAGGATCACAAACACAGATGGGTAAAGGATGAGAAGCAGCAATGGACAATATTAGCGTAAAAACGGATGTAAAACATAAGTAGCATTTTACAACCCCTATTTATCTTCAAGGCTAGAAATCCCACCTCCAAAGATGACTTTCGCGGTGACTAACATTGCTTATGGTGGACCCGCACGCATTGATGGCTTCGACATCGTACTAGGGAATCGTTGCTTACTGTCAGAACATCCTAGCCCTCTGAATGGGCGAAAAATGGATGCAATAAACAATTTTTGACGGAAAGCTCCACTTGCCTAAGTCTTCTTTTTTCTCAAACCTAATAAGGACAGTTCTGTTGCTGAAAATATATCCGTAGCACAGGATACTAGGTTATGCATGGCTAATTTTTATGCTAAAAATCGGAGGACAGATTAAAGCCGATGACTCAACATTGCCGCATCTGTCAATTAAAAGGAAACACAAAGCACTTTTCCAGATATGATGAGAAAATTGCATATACTACCCTGGCTACGGCACCGTCCCCAACTAAAGCATATGACAAATTACCAACCAGTTAATAAGAGAGACAAATGTTTCTTCGATATGACTCCGAAAAGGCGGTTACTAGCTCCACATCAAAGTTTTATGAGGCATTAACAACATACGAAAGGTGAGAATTGATCGACAGATTTACCCTGCGTGACTAGACAAACAAAGACTCTTTAGAAAGTCACAAATTCCCTTAAAGGTCCTGTAAGTCTAGAACAAAGTCCACCTCAGGGATGAACATATACAATTATGCAGAGCTAGAGTTACTCACATTCCGTCGTCTTGCTCGCATAAACAACAACATATTAGTGGAAAAAAAACGAGCATATGTTGCCACCAACATAACACAAACCACATTGTGATTTTAATACATCCGCCAGGAGACTAATGTAAGCAGTATTGGTGAGAAAATTGAGAGAATTCTAGGGTGGAAGGCCAGGAAACAGTTAAACTTTTATGGAAATAGGCTATTAGCACAGTATCGGCTACGGCTTCACCATAACACTGGAAAAGACAAGTATAGCACCTGAGCACATATGTAATTGGCAAAAGCTAAAGCACCATGCAATGGCTCAGATACTTCAAAACGCCTATATCTTTCAAATGAATCAGAGCAGGCGTAATCGACCCTAGGGAGGTGGAGTTGCACATGCATAAACAAAAAGTGGGGCTGTAGAGCAAACGTAGAAGCAGCCACAACGTAAAGGGTATAAAGCAAAGCACCTGACAACAAAAGTATGATAATATCGGTTAGAAAATCATATGACGCCTGTGTAAGATGCCACAAGACGTTTTTTCACCTAGGAGACAGTAGCTTTCGGATGCTAGACCTGTAAAGACAGTCGTTGCGCTACCGGCAGAGTAGAGTTTATGCCCAGAAGCCCGGATAATTTAAAGACGACAAAGCTTAACTTATAAGCCATTAATATGTTGAAATAATCCGACCTTAAATATCACGACATCTGAGGTAGCCATAAAGTGCAAAGATGTAGTTGAACACCTTGGTAGCAAATCACTGCATGTTCTTCAAACAAGGCGGTTATTTAACCCGTCATGCTCGCCATTTCACATACCCTAAAGCAAATCACTGCAAACATTGTCTGCAGGGCACAAATTCGTGCCAGACACTTGATAAAAGTAAACGAGTAAGGATTGAATAGGCGTCTAGAATGCCTCATAAAACTTTCAGTTATTACCACAAAACTCAACCTCAAATTAAATACATCTAAAGTTGTAGATTTAAGGTTTTAACCCCAAAGTTGTCGATGCGATGCGAAACACAATCTATTTGTCGTAATATCATGCATTCTTATCAGTTTATAACCTTATAGTGGGACATGGAGTCCTCTCTAGCCAAATGACGCGAAAAATGCGAAAAAGAATGAATTCAAGACATACCTCCCAGAAGTCAATGAAGTACACCACTGTAGTGCAGACAATGTAGAGACAATAGAGGAATCCCCAAAGCAGAAATACCACAAAGTACTTATAATTGTGGAACCCAACGCAGTTGTCAATCCTAGAGGCAAAGCGAAGTACGACTATATTACGCACAGAAAGAAGGCACCACGAAGCGTTGACTTAGGTTGTATTTGAAAAGCAAACACCAAAGGAAATGTAAAGCCTTAAGGAACTAACAAAACGTGCAAACTTATGTCGAGGAAGGGTGGCATTAGGTGATTCCTCAGTGAAACGAAGTAACCTACCATGGGCAATGGTGGTCCATTTTTAGAAGGCAGCTAGAAAAAGGAGATAAGTCGTGGTATAAATTATGCTTACAGCAGTATTTAATAAAGATAGCCATGTTCAGTAGCCAAAATTGAATACAACAAACAATCTAATCCACTACAATTGACAAATCAGTCGACATTACCATTCACATGTTGAACAGTGATGACATCGATCCGGTTTGATTATACTACACGTGGGACACACTCGAATCATTCCAACGTCATTAGTAGTCTCTATGGGCAAACCTCGAGTCGTAATAATGGATTCCAAAATCCTATTTCGATCGGATTCTTCGAAAGCACCATTTATTCGCTCCCAGTCAGAGGCTGAAAGACTAAACTAAAATGGAAACAAAAAACGTTCTAAAAAGAATTAAGACGCCTGGAGCAAAAAAATAAAATGCGCATGCAAAACAAACCCACAGAAGTATGAACTCACTTCATTTGAAAAAAATCATAAATCACCACAAAAAAAACGAGAATTTATTTATTTTCAAGATGAAAGTAAAAAACAATTTGAAAAACAAAAGTACCAAAAAATCGTATAACAAGCCAAAAAAATTGGGTCTTAAAGGAAGTATTGGTGAACGTGAACGGCATAATTTCGTCAGGACCATCAAGAGGCATAAGTGGTGCTTACCTCCGGAGGTGGTCGCATGGGTCTAGCAAATATCGCCTTCAGAAATGACCATAGAAACAGTATAAACAGAATGTGATAAAAGATGAGAAACATCACTAGACAAATTAATGTACGTGCAAGCGAGACCTACCTTTTTCAATCGTCGTATAAGTATATTCTAAATGGAAACGTTACAAAAATATAACGCGAACATACGAATACAAAATACAACAACATAGGCGTAGTAAGACCATAAAGTCAGTAATATGATGAAGACAACAGGAATTGACTGAAAAAAACGAATTAAGCAGTGGCAGCACGAT